CTCTTTTAAATCCTCCTAAAAGTCAACTTTTCAGTTGGAAATGTGTGGTACTTTCCCAGCTTCTCCACTGAGTCATACCAGCTGGAAGGTTCTTGAGCTGTTGCCAAGGCACAATCTGTGTATTTTTTTGACCTCAGAGAAGTTATAATGGAAGTATTAAGAGAGGTGTGAGATGGGTTGTAAAACATGGAAATATCCATATCTAAGAGAAACCACTTTATGATCCTGAAAACCAACTCAGACTCTAAGAAGGAAGGGAAAGGGTACATTAGTTGAGTGTCCTTGCTGTATTCAAAATAGCTGTTCGCATGGACAGAAGGAAAAACTTGCAAAGTAGTGAAGGAATGAAAATAAAATTCTGCAGAGATTTGCTTTTTCACTCAATGTTTCTGGTGGTAATAGTGATGGAAGAACTGCAAAAGATTTAGATTAATGGGGTATTAGTTTAGAGTTTCTGCCCAGTTTACATACCTCTAAGTTTCAAATGCATTGCAAAAAATTATCTACATTTTTGTGTCTGCAAAAGCTGAGCTAGATTCTTCCTTTGGAGAGACTATTTGATAATGCATCTTGTGATTCTTTTTCTGGAAATTAAATCTGCAGTTAAGTTTAAATTAGAGGGATTTGGAATGACGGCGTGCATGAGGAAAGACTGTGCAAAAAAGATGTAATATAACTTTCTCTATCGCCATGTCATAGAATATAACAATAAGTGGTTGCCAATTTGCTGAGCTGTTTGATAGGGAACCTGAAGAATGGGGATCTTGGCCTTCTTGAAAAACACTAAGGAAACTTGCTATTTATTGTCCTGTATTAAAAACCACCCTGGTTTATGATATATGTTTACTCTAGGGCTGTTTCATTTGGTTTCCTATGTATATATTCAGTCTTTGTGATTCTCTTAACCCAGATTTTAGGGTAAGTACTTACAGCTGTTTATAATCTTTACCTAATACTGATCCAAGCAAAATTTCAGGTGAACTGGGCACAGAAATTTACATGGGAAACTTTCTTTTCAGTAACTGCTATTTCATTGAAAGCAAAAATTTCCCCAGAATGTGTTAATTTTTTGCAAAGAATTGTCACCAAAAAAATTTGTGAAGATTAAAATGTAAGCATTTTTAGTGACACATGGTTTCTTATTTTTAGAATTATTCTCATTTTAAAATCTATTTTCAGTTCCACAGTGAAACATAGTCTCTAAAGTCAAAATGGGTTAGAGTTGAAGCAGGGGAAATGACAGACACCAGTATTTGTTTCCATTCATACTCAAAAAAAAAAAAAAAAAAGCCAATTCCTCATGGAATGGATAATTTGAGGCATAACGAGCAGGAATCCACTCTTCATCTGTTTCTGTCATATTCACTTCATTTGGGCAAGAAAGGTTTTGTCCTGATTAAGCTCACTTTACCAGTGATTTCAGGAGAACCCACCTGATTGGGATGTGTCACCAAGAGCATGAACCTTATGTTGCTCACATGCCTTTGTAGCACGTGGGCTGTCTGTGCCCAGAACATGGTGTTGTATTTCCAACCAGATTACCCAGTAGTAGGGCAAAATGTCTAGTTCCAGCTGGAGAAACAGAACTGTATCCCTGTGCAAAAATGAGCTGTTTGATTGACACTGGAGGAGTTCTCAAAAACAGGATCAATGTGATATAGGAAGGGGCAAAGGTTTGTTGCAAGATTTTCCCCAAACTTGTGTGCTCACACTTACTGTAGATGTATAGCCAGTGTCTCTGTCCAAGAGATTATCTTGCCTATGATTTAAATTATTTGAAAATTAAAGAAACAAATGACTACTTCAAACTTGGGGAAAAATGCTAAACTTCTAAGTAGTATTATTCTTGGTCTCCTTACAAAGAGAATTAAAGTAACAATATTGATGTGAATTTTTTCAAATGTATGAACATTCATCTCCCATTTAGAATCTGATTCTTATCCTCTTTAGAAAGACATGAGACTTTAACTTGTAAAACTGGAATTAGAAAATACTGTATTATCCTGCCATTTTAAGGTGTAGCATGCTCCTCATAAAGACAAGGTTATCTATGTGAACTTCAGGTAATGAGTGTTAAGCGCAGGCTGTGGACAAAACCTATCAGTGTTGTGGCATTTTATCCTAGTTTTATTGGTCAGTGTTATCCAAACCTTGCTGTTAGAAAGCTTGTAAAAAGGATGACATTAAACCTTCACCCTCATTGTGTGTTGATCAGCAGTGCTGCATCTGCTCAGGGAATGCTATGGAGGTCTTTGTGGAGAAACTCATCCTACACAGTACTAAAACTGACATAGGCAAATGTTATGGTTCTTCATTGTAATCCAATGTTCCATAACGCTTGGAATTTGTCTGTGTGTACTTTTCAAGATCTCTTCTCAGTGGTCTTCTACCCTTCTCCATCCCTCTGCTAATGGATTAGGTGTGAAATAGTTAATGCTGGCATTCTCAAAGGTTGCCCAAGCTAAGCTGAGTCACAAAAATGGTTGCCATTGGTTCAGTTTTTCTGTTGCAGATTCTAGACTACAACTCTGTGTATGTTAAATTGAAAGAGAAGTAATTTTTGCAGCCATAAATATTAGAGAAGTTCTTAAGCAAAGACTCAGATTTCATGATGCCTCTCACATGCTCCATCATTTAGAGACATGTCTGACACTATTGAAAAAACAGAGATCAGCTGTACTCCTGAACATACTAATTTTCTGTGCCACTGTAGCCAGGACTGTGGTAGATTTTAGACTCTGTTCCAGAGGCTCTGAGTCCCAGCCAAGGTCCTGCAGAGCTGGCTGGATTTTTCCATTTAAAGCTTGTTCCTGTCCCCAGATGGCTTTGCCTCACACTGGCTGGCAGCAGCAGGTGTGTGAGTGCCGAGTCATGCCACAGGAAAGGATCACAGAATAGAAATATTTCATCCTCCGTGGCTTGGTATCTCAGATGAGTTTGGGATAGCAGTGCTGTTGCTCTGGGTAATTCAAACCTGTGAAGCTCTTCTCTGTAGCACTGAGATAGTACAGCCAATGAGCTGTGTCCCCATGCACAGGTGACATTTCACAGTCCAGTTTGCATCTGTGAGTTACAGAATATTTGATTACACTAAAATTCTTTGCTATTGCCACGCAAATGTTCACCTTGAAATTTCTGTGCGATTCTGTACAATCTCAGGTGCAATCTGTATTTTTTTCCTTTGGTAAGCGTGACTTCTTCTTTTCATGATGTGTGAAAGTTTTATATAATTAAAGCTAAGTATTTCCAGCATTTTAAAAAGTACCTTTATGGGTCTTTCCTATTCTGAGGTAGTATGATTGGCATGTTCAACACTACATCATCATCATTCTGACCTGTTATATTTATTTTTACCATGTTTTTGTAACCATGTCGTGGGAATGTAACTATTGCCAAAGCAATGGCAATCAAATACTTGATAATTCTATGCTGCTTGAGCTCTGCTTTTCTGTTGCCTAGATCCTCAGCTGCTGCATTCAAAAACTTTTGGTTTCTTATACACTTACAGTGAGGTACAATGTAGAAACTACCCCAAAAATGACAGTTATTCTTGGGATTAAAAACTTTCATGAGACTACAGTGACCCCCTAATCCACTACCTTTAATTTAATAGTGATTCTTAGTGAAATGCTTCACAGAGGAGCTGAAAGTTGGCAAAAAATACAGTCTTCAAAATCTGGCTCCAGCTGATTTTATATCTAGAAGCACAACGTGGATGATCTACAACTGGTTAATTAAGTCTTATGTTTTTAGCCCTCAACTAGATGTGTAACATGACAAAACTTGATAGCAGATTTGCTGGCCAAATATGGAGAGATGTCATATATCTTCCTGACTACTTTATATTTGCACTCTTAAAGGATGCATGCAACTTGTCTAATAAAATGTCTGTATGTATGCGAGGGAAAAAAGAAGCAGATTTTGGATATCTCTCTCTGTTGATCTGTCTGCCTGTGTCCCTATTTTGTGAGTAGGGTAAAACTCCCCTTTCATTTTTTTTAATTGTTTCTTGGACTCTTACCAGCAGGTTTTTACAGTCTGTTGCCTGCCTCTCGGATTAGAAGAATACTGGCATATTTTAACAGTTTCCTAGGATCCAAATAGTCTTTAATTAACAGGGAATTGATGTTTTGGAGTGCAACCAATAAAGGAGACACTGAAAGCAGAGAATGAACTTGGATCCTTCCAGCTTGTAGCTGGCTGTGGCCAGGGGCAAACAAATAAGCAAAATAGGTTCCACTGCAAACAGGTAGTGCCTTATTGGTATGCAAGGGTATTTCTTCATTTACATTGCGTTCCCACAGAGCTGGTGGTCAGCTGGGAGGAGATTTCTGCTGCACAAAGTCTGAATCCTGAATCCAATAGCTCCACCCCTTACATAGAGCAGAAAGTGTTCATCGGTACCTTCCCATAAACAGAATTTCAGTGGCTCCTGAAACTGTTATTTTTAGATTTGTATTGATCAACTGTTGAGGCAGCAAGGTATGTTGGGTTTGTGAGGTTTAGGTTGAAACAGAATCCATTGGCTCCATGACTAGCTTTTAATTCAAAACCAGAAGTCTGCAAATAATGACTTTTGCTGAGCTGAACAGCAAGTTGTTCTTTATCTTTTTGAGTAATCTGCCTTTGTAGGGTTGAGCCAACAGGGTAGGGATGAAATTATAAGAGAATGAAACTAGCTGAAGTTCTCAAGGGAAGTTAGACATATGCTGAACTGTTGTTCCAGATTGTCCATGGAAATAAATGGTTTATAAGGTAATTCTAACCACGATAGACTGAAACATGAAACAATTGCTGGCAAAGAATTATAACCAACTCAATCACTGAGTCAGCTGTGCATTTTTTCACTAATGCAGTAATTTTTGGACAAGTCAAAATATATTTGTTTGATGCAATATTATCTTTTTATTGTTGCTTTGCACGTGTGCGTGCGTTTTGGCTTTTATCCCCCCACTAATCATATCACCTGCTGAATGCTTGCTGTCTCTCTGTACGTGCAGGTGGTACATGCCAGAGCCCTGCTCTTCCAGCCCTTGTGCGTCCTCCTGCACCACCCTTGCAGCCATCGCTGGATATTAAGCCGTTCCTCCCGTTTCCTCTGGACACTGCTGCAGCAGTGAATCTCTTCCCCAACTTCAATGCAGTAAGTACTCTCCCAACAGTTACACTGAGCCACAGCTTCCATGGAAGACTCAAGAGGGTACAAAACAGGATTTTATGTACTCCATTAAACCTGGAATATCCTCTTCCTTACTGAGGGTCAAATAGCTCTTTCAGACACGCCAATAGGCCATAAATTGAAGCCTACCTGGGTGTTAGTCAGAAGAAATGTAGAAGGAAAAAAAATTATATGATCCTGAGTGACATGAAATAAAGTTTCAGGCCATATTCAGTCCCCGGGCTTGTGAATTTCCCACAGTAATTTAGGACGTGCAGAGCTTCACTAACTTACAGTTCACTGCAAATCTCAGAGAGGGAAAGTTTCAGAGCAATGGGATTCTACATCCCATCTCCAACACCCTTCTTGAGAAATACTAAAAATTTACAGACCCTAAAGGAAAAAAACCTCTGTCAGGGCAAATAGAGTAAGAATGAGAACAACATTAGCTGTTGTATGAGCTATTCAGTGGGAAGCAATCCAGGGTATTTGTTTCAGGTTAAGTTGTGTTATTTTTCATATCTTAGGTTTAAACTAGGATAGATTTCTCCCTTTTTCTTTACTTAGTCATGCTATGCATGATTATAGAAATCCTATTCCTTTTTTAGTATTTTAATTATTTTACTGACATATGTCATTAATGTTCCAGTTTTCCTGTTTGAGACTGAGATACTTAATACTACTAAAAAAAAAAGATGTACATTGGTTTTATGTTAGTTTTGATGTTATAGAATTATGCCCCTTTTCAATTACTTTTTGATGCTCTTTTCCTTATTTACACATACTCTACATACAAAAAAGCCCTCCTAAGAGCATGTGCGCTTACCTACTTTGAAAGAAAGAGGAGGGAATGGAATTTTCCATTCTGAACCAATTCTAATTGACATGCAGAAATCTTAATTAAAATAATTAAGAGTAGTAAAGGAACATGTGCATTCTAGAAAAAGAAATTATAGCAATCAATAGCAAATTTCTGTATTTAAATGTTTGTTTTTTACCTTTCATAGATGTTCATTTTGCTTTAAAGTAATTAAAATAAGCTAATTGTCAAAACTATTTATACAGTCTTGAATTCAAGAAATTCTCAGCATTAACAGAGAAACTACAAGTTATAAGTCTTAAAAAGCACAGAAACAATATGTCAATGAACTACTGTTTACAAGTAAACTTTAAGAAGTCTGTTAGTATGCCACAAGGTTTTAAAAATGAGCTGAGTCTAACCAAGGTACTGATAACCCATCATGAAATGGATACAACTTGTTTAGTGTGCATTAGAGTTGAGGTTTTTTTAACCGAGTTAAACAGCATCTTGTGATCACTGTTTGTAGTTAATGCAACGAATTTTTAAAAGATATCTATAAGAATTTCTTGTATTTTTTGTCCTCAGGATTCTCCCTGGTTCAGAGTCTGCAGATTGATTTGCTAATTGTTTAATTATAGAACTGAAATGGTTGTTAATCCTGTGCTACTCTATAAATTTTCAGTTTCTTCCTTCATACACAAACTCCTTTGCTGCTATAATTATTTTGAGGAAGGGGTAGATAAGTTGTGCTTATATTAATTTGGACTCATATCAAAACCATGTTATTCCTGAACATTATCTTAGTAGCATATAATTTGGTAAGAGCACTGGTAAAGTGAGCCTAGTTTTCAGGAGTGAGACTTGAAGCCCTTTTTAACAGCACTCTGAAATCTGTTCCCATGCAAAATGCTGCTTCCTGTGATGTGTGGCCATCTGCCAAGTCCACCTTTGGCAGATATGTCAGTCCTGAGTGTGAGGATGCTGTCATCAGAGCTGCTGTCACCTGCCTTGCTGCTCATAGTTTATGCCTTGCTAAGTGACCTTTGCCTTCTCATCATGTGTGCTGACATGCAGCATCATCCTCCGTGTTCCCATTTTCTTTGTGAGCAGCACATTATTGAACGCTGCTATGTTTAGCTCATATGCCAGGGATGGTTAGCAGCAACCTCCAAATGCATAGACTAGCTGAATAGTTTTGCAGAGTTCCAGAAATTCTTTCCAAGCTGACAAAACTTTTGGGGACACATCAGCTGCTGACCCTTATCAGTCCAAGAAGAAGTTAACCCACACATCATGTTAGACTTCAAACACAACTTCTGACAGGGGCTTCAGTATGTGAATGTGAGGCAGAAAAAAAAAGTGTTTAATCAAAAAATTATCTTTGTAAATATGGCTCTTCATGATCAACTACAGCTGTTGATGATATCTTCATATTTGTTGATGATATCTTCATAGGCTTCACTGACAGTCCTATGCAGTGTCAGTGGATAATCATTTATGCTCTGTGACTAAACCCAGGTCAAACAAGTGGTCCATAACAGAACACCTGAACTGGATGTTCTCTCTTGTGTTGTCAATAAATTAGCATTTCCCTTGACTAAGACATCAGGGTCATAAATTGGGTCATAGGAAATGGATTTCTAAAGACCCCTTGACCCTCACAGGAACAAATTCCACAGGAACAAATGAGTTTGGCAGCATGTCTGGACTACTTCTCAAAAGGCTAGAGGGAAGTCCAGAATTTTGGCCACTTACTGGCCACTTTTCAACAGCCTTCACTTGAAAACAGCATGACCAAGGGGAAACTTGAATAAAAGTTCAGACATAATTCAGAGAAATAAGTAGTTTCTTGCAATCTTAATTAGCATGAGAGTTTGGTTGTTATGGACATAGGCATCTGAGTTAGTCAACCTAAACTTCTTCACAAAACATAATGGAGAAAAATCAGCAATTTCTCCAAGTTATGCGTGGATAAAAATGCACAAAGGTAGCTTGCAATGCAAGCTATATGTATACTTTGGCATGGAGTGAAGTGAACCCTGAAAGTTCTTATTCATCTATTCAGACTGTAATGAGGGACTGGCTCAGCTGCATCTACATTTAGATGAATCCCACATTATGGGAGCGGTCATAAGCTATTCACAGCTCATATATTAAATTCCACTCAGAAATCACATGACAGAAGTGCTGACATTGTATTGTATGTTTACAGAGGAATGCTCCCATTTATTAAGCAGTTATGCTTCTAATTTTATCTAAAGACAATCTTCAGGGAATTTGAGGATTCAGATTAACTGGATAGAAACATTAGAAGAGGTGGAAGCAAAAGTAACTTACTTTTGGTGGAGAGAGTCAGACATGTACATAAGAACTAATAAAACCAAATACTGACCTTAAGTATTGCAAATAATCCTAGTGAGGTGTATTTTATAACATTATTCACTCTACTTCAGTTTATTGCAAACATGTGAAAGTTTTATTTGTTACTGATGACTTTGCCCTAAAACAAGCTCCTTTTTTGCTGGGTGCCTCTGAAGAAAACATTTAGCACTGATTTCTACAAAGGCAAAAGCTTTCATTGAGACAGAGACTAAAAGAGATAACACGGAGTATGCAAACCTTTATCAGTAATATCCTCAGACAGAGAGTAGAGGAAAAAGAAAAAAATGAGTAACCTGAGAAAAGCAAGGAAGATAACGTTTGAACCTTTGAACCATTCAGTTTCAGGAGGAACATTTTCTATTTATATGAGAAAGCGTAAAGCAAACATAGCAATTAACAATCTGGTTAGCTGAAAGTTTGTAGGTGCTATGCTCGTAATTGTGAAGCAAATGGATACCCTCAAGTCACATGTAAAAGGAAATTGTAACAACACAGCTGTTTAAACTGAAAACAGCCCACTGGAACAGACCCTGAAGAATCCCAGGTTCACTGCAAGCTTACCTGATCCGAAAGGAAGAATCAACAGGATGGGATTTAAATGGATAAATTTTATTTAATGAGAGAAACTATGGCTATAAATAATGTTTATCTAGCTTTTTAAAATATTATTTGAAAGTTTTCAGAGGAATGGAAAAATAATTAAATTGTTCTGAAAATAGTTTGAGATCATTTCGCAAACCTTTGTTATGCTTCTGCATTTTCATCTGCAGAGGGAGAAGTTGCAAGTCTGTGTACCATCTAAGAATTAGTTCTTAGAGATGCAAAGCTTTAACAGTTGTATTAAGCATATATGGGTCTTTGCATGTGAATATGAGTATTCAGTTCATGAGCTGATAGTTTGTTGCAGAGAAATTTCACAAAACATCAAAGTCTAGAAGTTAATTAACTTGTAGAAAAATATTGATGGGTCTCTAGTCTAAGAGGAGATGCTTAGTTTTGCAAGATATCAGCACCAACCCTAAGCTGATGGACGCCCCTATAACAGAAAAAAAAAAAATCTTTTGCAGACTTTTTGGTAGTCTCCAAAGCACAGATGCATCAGAAACTGGGTTTTGCCTATTTCCAAAGCTCTCAGAATTATATACTTCAGTCTCTTGAGCAGGAGACAGAATTTAAAGTTTAGAAATTCAGGACATTTTGCCATTACAAGGTAGAAAATTGGACAGTGCATTGCAGTCCTTGTTTATTCTTTGAAGGATATGCTGACCATCTTTCTGAAAAAATTCTAAAAAGTAATATGAGCTCAATCTGTAAATGAAGGGATGTACAGTGTAGAAGAACTGAATAAATGCTTGAAAACAGAAAGAGTGATGTTGCTTGAAAAGCCCCATTCCTAACTCCAAATGGAAGCCTGGTTGCTAATAGAAAGTTTTCCGAATAAGCATACTTTGAAAAGAAACATCACTACAGTTTTGACTAGAAAAGAATGACTTGGAAGAGGAGTGACAATGTCAGAGTTGTACTAAACATGGATGGAAAATGAACTATTACTATACTGACATGTTGCCCATGATCCACCTGTAGTAATCCTTGTTCAGTTCCCCAATTTTTCTGTTTTCTTGTTCTATGCCAATAATAATAATAATAATGCCCGGTGCATTATTAAGAGCTTCCTATTTAACCTTCCCCTGGTTATGGAAAAGGAGGAGGAGGAGTTAACAGTGTCCATTGCCCCTAGGTTGGGGCTCTAGTGGTAACCGGTTAAAGTGCCAATGTGGTGCTCCTTGCTTCCTGAAAATTG